TGTATTCAGCGTCTTTCCATGTCAAATTGCAACTGCTCAGGTCCAGCTTATTTAAGTGCGTCATCTTCGGCAATTTCTTGGCAGAGCCAGCAGATCCGCCCAATGCCCCGTTGCCAGCAAGGATCAAGTCAGTCAGGTTGGGCATGTCACCTACAAACGAGGCAATGTATTCAAAGTCTTGCCATGTCAAATTGCAATTGCTGAGGTCCAGCCTAAGTAAGTGCGTCGTTTTCCGAGTCGGCATTTCTTTGTCCCACAAGTCAGCCGATCCGCTCAATGTCTGGTTTTCATCAAGGATCAAGTCAGTCAGTTTTGGCATTTCGCGTACAGCCGAAGCAATGTGTTCAATATCTGTCCGCTGTAGTTCGCAGCTTTTTATTTGAAGTTTTTCTAGGCTTGCCAAGTGTTTGATATGAGGGGCCCACTCTACAGCTCTACCTCCCAGTGTATTGCAACCAACTATGTCAAGATCGGTCAAGCGTTGGCTGCATATCGAGGACGTGGTTTTCTCAAGATCGCCCTTCACTAAAGAACATTCCTCAAGCCTCAGATCCATGAGGTTTTCCATGTAACCCAGGGCGACAGCTAAATCACTGACCGGATATCGAGACACGCGAAAAACCTGAATAGTCTCAATGCGTGCCAGTTGTTCTGTGCGGCTGTCTGACCTGCAGATGATTTCTAGAAGGTATATGAGACTGCGAAATTCATTATTGTTACCCACAGTGATATTTGATGGGATATGCGAGTCGCTGGTGAGACACCGTGGGGCCCTTGCTGATTGGCTTTCAAAGAAGCAGTTTCGACATATCGCCTGTACTACATCTGATTGGTACCTGGGCTCATCTTTATTGAACGTATAGTCAAGCAAGTTTACGATGTCCGTCATGCATTTCTCATTGTCACCACAACAAAAACGAAAGAGAAACTCATTTGAAACGACGCCCTCAATTGTATGACAAAGTTGCCTTAAATTGTTTTTAAATTTTCCAAATGGTACAACTTTGCACAACGTGCGCTTTACAAGTCCAAGGTTCGACATATGAATACTCTGCAAGTAATTTGCAGCACAGTATTCCTGCATAGTCTTGTGCATGAACTGTATATTGTTGTGGGGTGCAAGGTTTTTGATAACTCTCTGCTGGGTCAGGATGCCTGCTTTTAGTGCTAAGTCCAGTGCCTTCGGTTTAAACTCATCTCTTTGAAATGAGAAAGTTTGGTTGGCACTCATGAGTCCACGCAGCGCAGTTTGACCAATTGCATTCAATGTTTTTGATACGTTTGGTACGCTTGCATCTGATACTCTCTTCTTGTCCTCGTCTTTTCTTGTGAACATGTAATTAACTGCCTTAGTGAAGAGGCGTGAAGTTGTTTCTGGGAGTTGTTGAGTCTCCCTCCACAATAGGCACATAAGAAGTAGCAACATCGGATTTGTCGCAAAATCACGCAGCGTGTTGGACTTTCCGATGGTTTGGATTAGTGCTTTGCCACTATCAAGATCCGTTTTTTCATAGAATTTCCGAACGTATTCCTTAACATCGTCGTCGGTAAACCCCAGAACCTCCACGTGTGTGCAAGGATTTTGGACAAGTGATGTTGACATCAGTGTCTCAAAACGAGAGGGGCGCGTTGATACACAGATGCAACATTCACGGTATTTTTTTCTATTGAGTGCTTTTAGGACAGAACCGAAAGAGGCTGCTTTGAGTGTTTGGGTCTTCATTTCATCAAACCCATCCAAAAGAACCAAGACCTCATTTGAGTTAGCCTGGATGACTGTATCAAGCTCATGTTTTGTTATTCCCGAATCTTCGTCTAGAAGTTGATCTAAAATGGAATCAACAAGATCGGATTCTTGGAACAGAGCACACATCTTTAAAAGAAAGACAAGCTTGAATCTTTTCAGGAATTCGTCTTCCCCCTCAGCCCAGTCGTATGCAATCTTATCAAAAATGGTTGACTTCCCAACACCTCCCATGCCAAAGAAAATGAGGCGTTTTATGAGTTCCCCAGTTCTTGTTGTTAGTAGGAATATTTTTGCATACTCTGTTGAGTCTACAGATTCTCCTTTCTTGCCAGTGACAACTGCTACCCCTTCCAGCGTTTCTAACTGTACTTTAGTGTATATACCAGCTATGTGCATTTGGTCATTATCAACCGCAGGCAGCAACTGCACGTAACTGCCTGTTGTTTTATAAACTCCCTTCAAAATGTCCCTAGTCTTGTTACCAGCTTCTTGGTAGCTAGGAGCCCCCAGCCCTGGGTCTTGGTCCGGGCTCTGACTAAGCTGAGGTCTTGATGCAGGCAATCCTATTCAGATGAAAACAAGAAACATATCAGTCTAAGACGTAGAAAATATGTACAAGAAATTATGACTTGGGATTGCAAGTGCGTTAGTAAGGCAGTTTATAAAATAAATAAATAAATGAAAGTTAATAAATATATGTTTTGGCTTTTGCTGTTAGACACAACCTTGTCAAGTTGGGCCTTATTCAATGACATGCAGTACATTCACTTTCTTTTATAACACGGACAAAATAGATTCAGACCAAAAAATTGGTAACCGCAGGTGTACACACAAGTTAATTGGACATCGTTATCCAAATATTGACTCGGACAACAGCAATACTCTTCTTGTGGTAATCACTACACTCCAAAATAATTAGTCATATATGGTTCCTAATCCTTGAATTCTGACTGATGATAAGTTGAAGTCAATATCCATTTTTAAGTTTATAAAAAAAGCTCACGTTACCAACCATGATTACTCCTGTTTTGCTATTTAATAGCTTATTATAGTCAGTCATGTATAGATGCAATATTCATTTGCAACTTAGCCATTTTCAGAAGAGGAACACATAAGGGCGCTTTCTGTTGTGGCCTTGTGGGTAAATAGAGGAACAAATTACAAGACTTAACCACTATAAACAGCGCCCTCCTATTGAATCCATCATATATCGAACTGGCTTATATAGTTGTGCCAAAGAAAATGGCGACTCTCTACCTAGCGGAACTGTCAATCAGTCTTTTGTTTTCATGGTTATGTAGTATAACCTCCCCCACCGACCAAAAAAAAAATCCTTTACACTGATTGCTTTTATCTCAACAAACAAGATTATATTTACCATGTCCCTCCATTGGGAAGTTGTAATAACTGAAAGTTACTCCACTTGAACCAACAATGGTAGGGCTTGCGTTACCGCTGACTGTGCCCATGTTTCCGATGTTTCCAGTTGGTTCTGGGGAACCTACAAGCAGAAGCAAAAAGTAAAACATCCTTTAAAAAATAACAGCCGATAAAATGATACATGTTCTTGATTCCATCTCCAATTGTCGTCTGTACTTGGAAACACTGTCTTATAAATTTTAAAGGATACTTTTTTTCATCTGACTGTTCATAGAAAAAGAAGTACATGAAAAACCATGCTATGACTAAAAACAACTTGAAAGAGGAGAGGGTGGTAAGTGCCCTTCCACTCCCCAGCAAGGTTATAAATTGACTCCAAGCAACTATTCATTCATTCCTCCATGCTCCAAGCAACGAGCTACTACGCACTCACCTGTTGTATCAGAGCAGGCGGGTTCCCGAACCTCCTGTTGCATCGTGGTAGGTACACTGATTGATAGTCTGATGGCAGGATGCTTTAGATCACTCAGCCACAAACGGAGGTCCTGCGTGTCAATTATCAATGAGAAATGCTCTTCACATTCTGTTTGTTAATAGAATTAATCTTGTGAATATTTTAACAGATTTTTAAACACACCCACGACCAAGGCAAGGCAAGCCTCGTCTGAAAATGTATGTGGGACTCTTAAATGAAACCTGATTGAATATTCGCATTGCATCATGGGTATGGATGACAAACAACCAATGCAGTCATGGCAGTTTATTACACGAACACATCAACGGCGCTTTCTTTGGACAGCTGAGAGTCCACCACTCATGCAGCAAATGTTGTCCATCATTTTGAAATCAATGATGCTCTGCCATCCGTGACCGAAGAGATTTCAATAAGATATCACTAAAAAGCAAATGAACTACCCCTAAAGATGGGCCACTTTGACATTTTTGAAGATCCTAACCTTTACATATTAGCCCATCGCTTTTCGATTACCATTTTCTTGATGCATCCTGTTCATATGTATTGCAACCGTTAACTGACTTAAATTGTGTTCCAGAAATTTTTTTTTTGTTCCGTTCTTCTTTTAACTCCAACATATTCTGAATCCACACCGCCCCCCATTAATGGATCTTTTTCTCACTCTTCAACAGTGAATAACTTTATTTACCGTGTGGAACGTCATCCCACATCATGAATGGACTCCACCGTGACTACGCTTCTTGAGAGGTTGATATTAGCAGTGTTTTCAGCATGCAGACTCTAAGGCCTGGATCTTGATTGGATTGAACACCTGAACACTTGAACACTTGACCCGAGTTGACGACCCCAAGGCCTTGACCCAATGGTGCGGACCCACGGAATTGGCCTGAGTCTCGGCCCACGGCCATGCCATGAGTAAGTGGCGACCCACGGAATTGCCCGAGTCGGCGACCCACGGCAATGCCCCGAGGTGCCGGCCCTCGGAATTGGCCCGAGTCATCCATCGGCTCACGGCCTTGCGCCGGGGTGTCGTCCCACGGACTTGCTCGAGTCGTCGGCCCACGGCTTTGCGCCTTGGTGTCGTCCTAAGGGCTGGCCCGAGTCATCGACCATGCCTTGACCCGAGGTGCCGAGCTACGGACTTGACCAGAGCCGTTAACCCGCGGCCTTGTGACCACTACCGTGAATGCTCTTTGGAATTCTTGTGGTGATGGAGCAACTTTGGAGCATTGCATCAGATGGGTTTGGATGACAAACAACCAATGTAGTCATGGCAGATTATTGCACGAACCTACGACTCGAGGCAGCGGAACCATTCAATTTTAGGTGTTAACCATGTCAAACATGACGAAACTTTGTCAGTTTGTAGATTGAATACAATATGAAATGTCCACTTACCTCAGAAAAGCGTCTGTAGTATTTATCTGTGAGAATAGACCTGTTGAATTTGAGCAAGAGTTTGAAAGTGGGCGATAATACGAACCGTCGCGGCAGTAAATGGGATTTCCCTTACGTCATAGCAGAAAATAAACGGGGAACCCCCAAAGCCAATTAGCAAGGGCGCCCTCAGTCTGGGGAAGCCCTCTACGCGATGCGCCCGCTGGAGTTCCGAAGGGGAGAGGAGTATTTGCATAATCAATTTATTTTATAGGATGCCGCATTCGGGTTTCGTTGCGCTTAAACTAGTGTTGGGTTTCGTTTTTCCTTTTCCTGTTACACATTTTCTTTTTTGTTTGGCAAAAAAGTTTTTTCAAAGTTTTTAGTTGTTCGTTTTTATGGCGTTTCTGTTACAGTAAAGCAAATAATTAAATATTGTCGAAATGCGAGTGTGCTGTTTTTATTTACATATTTCAACTGTGTAAACGGAAAACGGTTTATTATTCGTTTTCTACGATATACACATTTAAAAATGGAATACTGTTACTCGATAGTCGATACGTTTTCCTTTTTTCTTAATACAGATTCCGAAACGGCAAAACGGTAAAGGGTTCGATTTTCCTTTTTCTTTTGACAGATTAAAAAACGGTAAACGGTAAAGGGTTCGCTTTTCCTTTTTCTTTATTCGATTTTAAAACGGTATTAATTGATTGGTATGTACACGGATCGTTTATTCCGTCATGCTTTGTCAATTTGAACTTAATTATGGTGGCGCTGTTGGGGAAGTGAATAGTGCACTTACCGTGAAAAGGCTGTTACTATTGTGACGTGTATGTTGATTATTCTGCTCGCGGGAAACTGACAATTAAGTGAGGGATCTCATTGCATTACTAAACCAGGACGGTTAGGGCTTAAACATGAATTATTCAGTAGTTTCGATCGGGCCAGTATGTTTATTCATGAGAACAGAACAATGATATCAAGAGAATCGTTGTTATTTAGTTAACCAGTTACATTAAAGCATTTTAAAGTACGGTTGTCGTCGAGCTTTGCGCTACCACAGTGGGCTAGTGAGATGGATACAAAAATCCCTGGTTCGAATCCGCGTCGTCGCTGCGCATTTTCATCAACTATTTTCTTATCTCAATTTATCGTGGAGATAATTTTAAAGATACATCTCGAAATCGTGACGCCACGCCAAAAATAGAGCTGAGAAAGCAGGCGTAATTTTTGCTTTTCATGCTTGGCAAATTCCCCCCCCCCTCCCCAAAGTCTTTGTATTTTCTAGCATTTTTTCAGTTGACATTTCTTTCGCGAGCAGGCGGGGGTAATTTACCCACCCCACCCGATTGACACCCCTGCAGACACCTACATTGTTAAATGTGTATCAAATTATCAAAATAATAGCAAATAATAAACATTTTTGTGGCTTTTCCGGGGGGGGGGGGGGGAGGGGGCGCAATCGCCCCCTTGGCCCATCCTAGCGACGCATCCATGGATATACCAAGGATTTGGTTAGCATATGTTCAGGGGCAGATCCAGCTATATCAGGAAACGGGGTGGTTGGGGGGGGGGTTGGGTTGAAGGGGTGATATGAAGGGGGGGGGGTTGATTAAAGACGTCCCAGGCCTTGCGGAAAATTTGGAAATTTAAGAATAATTTTGGAACTTTATCACTCTATTTATTATTGTTGGCTCCATAACATAAGTCAGCGGCTGTGTTATAACCCCGCCCTCCTCAAGATCCGCCACTTCCTTTTTTTTCTGAATTATCTTAACGAATTTGATCTGGTTGGTGGATGATCCGAATCCCTTGATGAAATCAAAGAAAAAGTTCGATTGTTTTTTTAGGAAACAATTCGGGCACTGTCTAACGATGGGGGCGCTATAATTCTGCTGGTTCCCGGAAGGGTGCAGGCCAGTAAATAGGCTCGGAGTTGCCAAATCGCGATTTCATGCCCTCGAATTCTCTGGTATTAGAACATTTTGAGGGATATGAACTTAAGGTTTTGTAAAAAAAAAAAGGATGGAAGCCGGCCAGAGTACCGTACAAGCTCGTATTTCTGTGAAGTTAGGCCCTAAAATTGCTTTATTTTGCTATGGAGAGTAGGCATCCTTTTTTTTCAAAATGGCGATGGGCTTCAAGACTGCTTTTAAGAGTGATCATCTTTGGATGGAATATTCTTCCAAAAGTCGTTGGTCAACCCCGAAAAAATCGAACAGAAAATGAACGATGATGAAATGCAATTTAATTTTATGTGTGTCTCAAACACCTGGAGAGTTGTGAATATATTTTTTTTTATAGAAAATTGGAAGTACGCGTAGTTATCATTGAGGTCTATGGAAGTCTATTTTGGTCTGCAATCCGAACCCCATTTCACAGGTCAGTTTCCAAACTCCGGCTTCGATCCGTCTTTGGCTTCAGTTCAATAATTGCCAAAAAGCATGCATATAACCAGAGACAAAACGAAGCCGGGGATTGGAAAACGGCCTTTGTCATCAGTAAAAATTATAGCCTTTCCCCATCCTCCAACAAACTCGCACAGGGCAGTGGGTACGAATTAAAAGGAAAACAAACAAGCAAAACAAAAACAACTGCAAAAAAGGTCAACTTGAAACGAAACTTGAAAATGTCACATTTTACGATCGTCATAAACATATTATTTATTTTCATTGGTAAAGTAAAAGAGGAAATGAGAGGGTGGATTTCAGACGAAGTTCACAATTTTACAACCGCACAGCACTCAGAACTACATTGAATGAGAACAAAGGCTGTTTCCAAACGAACATATTGCGACAGCACCCGTCGAAGACATGTAATTTTATGACTCTCGTTTATTGGCTCAGTTTTTCAACAATCTTTATCAATGTTTACCTCTTCTCAAAAGTTTGCAAAGGGTGGCAGGTGGCAATTGAACTTTGATACAAGTCTTAATAATTATTTTCGTACACACAATGAATAAGTATCAAAATATATATGTATTATCTAAGAGATATGTAAAAACTTCCGTCGTTTTGAATTTTAAAACCTGAATTTTATTGTATTTAATTTTGTATTTTGTATTTTATTATTTATAAGACAATTTTGCAGGCAGAATACATAGCAAATGTTTCAAAGTAGGATCTATGAAGTATATATAAACGTTAGGGAGATGTATTCCCTGTACTATTTCGAGTAATTCCCGAAATCTAACAGTTATTACACTTTTGAATGAGGCATCGATCGAAAAAAAAATGCGGCCCGATAATAATTCGGGTATGTTCCCCACTACCGATGTTTCCCACTTCCGATGTTCCCCGAAATCCTTACCATATAACCCTAACCCTAACCCTAGCCCTAACCCTAACCCCAGCCCTAGCCCTAACCCTAATCCTAAGGATATCGGAGAACATCGGTACTGGGGAACAAAGGTATTGGGGAACATCGGCTAGACCCCAATAATTCGGCTCTCACAGGGAGGGTTCATTATTTTGTACGCAAAAAGAAAGCCCTTCAAGAGTGTTGCAGACGCCCAAAATGGAGGCTTTTTTTCCGCTAAAACAAACCATACAAATATTGAAAAGTTGTTAGGAGAAGAACAAACAATCCATTTTTCTTTAATAAGAGCACGGGTCACGCGTCTTAATTGACTGAGATCGTATTGGTCCGGGCTGCGTTGAGAAATAGTTGGAAATCACCTATACATGGATTTCTTGATTTCTTTTAAATGACCGCAAGCCACACGGAATAATTTCACAAGGTGGTTAGTATCCAAGTAAGCTTTTTGAAAAACATAATTCGGTTGGTTACTGTGGGGATAAATGCAAATGATCCTATATGCCTTTAAATTGACAGATTTGCGACTTTGGGAGAAAAATATACGATCGTGTAGAAGGAAGTGTTGCAGAATTTTATGGATTATTTTCTGAAAGCCCAGGTAGCCAGTGCCATGAACGCGGTCAGCAGGACACTGAAGGAGATAGCGACCGGGGCTGAGTTGCAACCGTCCCCGGTACAACAGTACTCGGTAGAACACACGTTATTTACACAATTATGATAGTAGCTGGTTGTCGAGTCGTCCCTACACTTGTCTTCGTTGCGGCAAGATCGTGTCACTGAATTGTCGTTATCAAAGGTTTTCTGTAAATTAAAAAAAAAGTGCAGTAAATATATTTCACAACAGAAAGAAGCGAAAGAAGGAAGAGAAAATAGTTTTCTTTTAGCACAAGCAACACATATTATGTTCTTTATGCTAGCAACATTTTAAAACGATATAAAACAAGTATAACAATCGCATTTTATTGAGGATGTACATTAAGCTGTTTTCACGTACCAGTAACTAGTCTGTGATAGGCAATTGTTTTCAGGTTCTGCTTTGTTAGGTCTAGTAGGGAAAATTCACCATAAGCCTTGGATTTTACGATGATGCCTCCGGGCAAGCTGTTTCTAATATTGTGTGGAAGTCAATGTTTTTGAGTGAAACACATCTATACTTCAGCGTTCCCGACAAACCTTGGGTGTCTTGTTGTCTCACTGTATAGCGATTTGGGTGCACTTACCAAGCAGGTTTGGCCGCTGGTGCACGGCTTCAGCCAGTCCTTGTGGTTGGATGCGTCGAACGGATCGTCACCACAGCCGCTGTTTGATGGCGTGCACTGGTAACAATCGACGGCTTCACTCAGTGCCAACTGGGCCAAGAAACCTGTCACGAAATGAGAAAGAAATATGTGTGATATCAATTTGGTATAGGGTGAAAGAAAATCGAAAGGTTATTTTCTTTGGTGGTGTTGGAACATCACCTTCAGTAGGAGGCCAAGGGCGGATCCAGAACCAATTTTTCGGGGGGGGGGGGGGGTCGTCATCTTTCACAAAAAGGTAAGGGGATTATGTAGTATCGTGCGCTTTTTCCACATTGAAATAATAACACTAAAAGGGATGTGTAGCTGATGGCTTGCAAGGGAGATACGAAACGTTTTAATTTATTTCAGAAAATTTCAGACAAAAAGGTGTCTTCACTCCTTTGATAAAAACGAAAACATCTTTTTTGGGGGGAGGGGGCGGGGGCATGGCCCTGTCCCCGCGGATCCGCCAATGTAGGAAGCCGATAATGGATTGCCCACCGAAAGTGTATTACGAAAAATGTTTCGGGGAATTTTATTATTTAAGTCTTCCAGCCACTCAAGAAAAAAGCTGCAAAAGAAGAAAGTAGACAGGAAAGACAAATCGGAAGATTGTGGATGGATAGCAGAGTGCGCCTCTGAGATTCCTCTTGTCTCACAGTATATGGTCTTATCCCATGTAGCTGCTTTTCACAGGCATTTTTAAACACTCAGACAATATTTTCTCTTCAAAAACTGGTAGCCATGCAGTAAAAGTGCCATGTGATCTGCGGCGTTTTCAGGTTTTAGGTTCGGAAGGGAGTGGTACTTTTTCAAAATAAAAATAGTCGAAAAGGTCAGAGTTTGGTTCCTGTGATCCATAATTATTTCTGCATGTGAGAATTTGAGACTTTTGGTCGTCCACTTTTGAGTCGCTAGAGAAAGAGAGTCCTTAAAGTAAAATCTAAAATTTCTGCTAGCAGAAAATTGAGATTTTTCAATACGGGTAGCACGGCTTCAAAAACTCTGAAATTCTGCTATATTATAGCAGAAAATGGGAAAACTGGGTTGTTCTTGAAACGTATATTGACAAGGCCAAAAACCACTGCCACGTTGGGTGTAAGCCTACAAGGTTTTTAACGGTTTTTTTACTGTAAATGTAAGCCATTATGTGGATCTCATGCATGTAACACGGACCTTTTTTACAAATTCTGAAACATGAAAAGTGAGCAAAATCTGGCAGAATGTGTACCTCTGGTCCCTTAAAAAAATAATTAATCACCAGTGCTCAAACCTGGCACCTAACAACTAGCAAAAGAGATTTGACACAACGTGCATCAGAAAGATCTTGGGCATCAGGTGGAATGACATCATCGCCAACGAAGAAGTCCGAGAGCGGTCAAAACAACCTCCAGTGCCGGTATGCCCAGAGTGCAAGTGATAATTTATGTAAATGAACTGATTGGGTCACGTTGCACGGCCTCCCGGCCCAAAGGCTCGCCAACCAAGTGTTGTGGTGGACCCCAGTGGGATGGGAAGAAGGATGAAAGGCCGGCCCGGATGAGCTGGCACCAGAAATGAGCTACAGGAGCTGGAATGACGTGAAGATGCTGACAGCTGACAGGTCCTACTGGAGAGCGTTTTTTTTCTGATGCGTCGAACGACGTGGGAGCTACTAAACTAAACTAAATGCTCAAAACTTCGCAAGATGCCAAAAGTTTATAGCCTATCGTGCGTTACCATGCTGTCACGCGCAATGTGGGAATCTGGGTAAATTCCGAATTTGCCCAGGGCAAAGTTGGAATACCAACACTGAGCGGCAAAGTACATAAAATTAACAGAATTCCCATTTTGCCCAGGTTCAGTAGTAGCGCAATGTAGGATTCGCAATTTCAACTCCCCTTAACTACAGAAATTACATCAAAATTGACGGAAATTCACACTTTTTCAAGGCTCAGTAGCGGCGCAATGGAGGAATATTAATTAACTGTGGGTAATTTTAACACCACTTTTGTAAGGCAACTTAAATAAAAATTTCACGAAATTCACAATTTGCCCATGCAGGTTCGATAGTAGCGTAATGTGGGAATATTACCCATTGGTCATTTCAAAACCCCTTACCTATTGAAAAGTAGGCCTACAGCAAATTTACAAATTCCAACTTTGCCTAGGTTATAGTGGCTGAATTCCAACTTTGCGCGGATTTCCACTTTCTCCGCGACAATATTGCAAACAATAAAACATGACATAATTAATTGACAAACTTACCGCCCAGGAAAGCAGTCAGAAACAGAACAGACTTCATCGCGATGCGTGATACTCTTTCTCTGAAAACTCCGGCGCAACTACAAAATAAAAGGCCAAGTCGTCGGACTCGTACGAGAAGTTGACTCAAGAAAACTTATCAGGACTTAAAATAATTATGACTCCTGGTTTAATTTTAAAAAATCCCTTGGTTTAAATTAAGTTACAACTAGAAATAAGTGGTTTTTGGCATTTTGTAAGAATGGAAAGAGAAAGACTATTGGTATTTGAAATTTTGAACACCATTTTCAACTACAACATGAACTTAGAATGAACGACAAAACCCTAAAGGCATTGTATTTGATGTGCAAATGCATAAACAAATCTTAACTTCCACAAAATAGTTGATTGACGAATGATGGAAATACACGAAGTCTTCGTACCAGTAAATGAACAGATTCAGCTTTTCTCTTGTGGTCTTCAAAAAACGGCGAGGATTCGTCGAAGAGTTCTCCTGGCGCGTCTACTTCAGTTTGCACTGGGGACCAACGCCGTACTACACGGGTTATATACTCGCTCATCCCCGGTCCCCATCCCCGGCCCACACGTGACTATTGACGCAAATCAGACGCACGACAAAGTGAGAAATTGATTGGCTGAAATCCATGCAAAGTAGTCACGCCTCTCGAAATCAGGCGCTTCGGCAGACCTCATGCATATTCACGAATAGTTGTGTGCTCTCATTGGTCAAATCGTCAAGAGTCTCACTTACCTTGGGAACAGTGTTTTATCATTATTAACATCAACGATAAACGTAGGACAGAGTTTGCACGGTCTATCAAGTGCAATGCTATAAATTTAGGAAGTTTTATTGTCCGTCTCGATATCTCTTTGAATGACGTTAATAAAACTTACAATGAGCTCATGTCTGGGTAAATATCAGGGGGTTAAGACGTTGCGTCAAAACTAAAACAATTAGGCCAAAAATAGGCAGTCGGGGAGTCAGCCTATTCTTGCTTTGTGTTGTGCAATATTTTATGTAAGGGGGGAAGGAACTTTTTGTCCTAAACCTGAAATGTGAAATTTTAACAAACGCGTAGAGAGCACTCTTATTTTGATACTTGAATAAAAGGAAGAGAAAAATGAAACGCCAACGTATTGGAGTCATGAAGGAAGGCCGATTCTTATGATCATAAACCTTAATAACCACCTGCTATGATCATTCGCTTTTCATGCATTTTGTTCGTTTCCAATAATAATACCACACAAAATCCAAAAAAATGTTCAAAACCAAACCTTTTGAAGTTTCAGCTTAGTGGATATTACACTTCACTAAAACATGCCTTCGTTCATAGCACTTTTTATGTAAAAATGAAATTGACTGATGGTTGGAAATCACTATTTCTTGATTCCTTCTAAATGACAGCAAGCCAGACGGAATAATTTCACGGGGTGTTCAGTACCAGTACCATCTTTAATCCAGTAAGTTTTTTGATGATAATTCGGTAGGTTACTTTTGGGATAAATGCAAAATGATCCTATATGCCTTTAAGCTGTCCCCTGCATAGCTCACCCATGCTGATCCTCCAACACAACAAGCGCGTCCCTGAACTTCACTCTATATAATTATCCTCTAGTCTGGTTCCCAGACCTGACAATTATTCCCGACGCTCACGTCTTAAATTGTAGGTCAGGTAGCCTCCGTGGCTCAAATAAACATGACGACATTAATGGCCCTTTTTCAAAGCGCGGCTTCGTTTCCGATTTCGCTTTATCACTTGTAGCTTTTAATGTTCTGATCAAATCTTTAAATAAATCACTTGCTTCGTAATATCATACAGTTATGATAATACAGTTTGATGTTTTTTGTAATAACATTTAGTAATGTTGATCTGGAATCTTCAAAATTACGGAACCAAATAGCACTGTTAGCAGGCGGAGCCGAATGAAGACCGAGTTTTGGAAAATCTCGGTAACGGTCGTCAAATTCAAAATTGTACATGACGCAGCAAAAAGTTCCCCCGCACGATTCGAGTATATTTGATGCACAAAATCGTCGTTGAATTTCAAGTTTTCTAAATGAAAACAATGAATATTTATTTATCAACTCATTTAAAATAAAATTAATAAGCAATTAGCAGTTAATTAAACCTATATTATATACTTGGAAATACTCGGGCGCTATCCGATTGTCGACGAAACGACTTCGGCAAACTTCGGAAACTTTCGGAAAAAGGAGGAATTCCTCCCGTTTTAGTCACGTGACGTAAATTGTAATACATTGTATTACCGGAGGCTACCTGACCTAAGATTCATCAGGAATAGTCGGAATCTTTTGGTCTGGGAATCAGACTATATATCCTCCACATGTTATAAAGAAATGCATGCCAGTAAAAAACAGAATGTTTCTAGAATTAAAAAAAAAAGACGGAAAGGGGACTGAAAATGAATTAATAAATGAACTGAGGAGCATAGGAAATCACGGAATTTTAGAAAGAAATACAACAATTTTGTTACAAACAACTTGTCACCTGCATGGGCTTAAAATGTGTAATCCTTCTTCAAACGGAGAAAGCCTCGTGCTGTTTTCCAATTTCACTATAGCCTTGGTCCAAGAAGTCAGTGATCGAGAGCGATAGATGCATTGCTCTGTAGCTCTGTATATATTTTTTTACGTTTCATTTCGCTAACGTCTTGGTCATTTCGTAGCAATGGGGGCGTGGCCATTTTATGTAATTTGGACCGTCTGTATACATTGAACAAAACGGCTGTTCCCATTTGCCGCAGTAGTCGCGCCTTCGCACCCCGTATCACTGAGTCGCGAATGTTTTGAATGGAAAAAGGCAGTGTTTACAAAATATTTGGGGGTAAAATACAACCGTCGGGCGAGTCATCGAACCATTTCTCGATCGCTGATTGGTTCCCTAGGAAAGCTATATGATGCTAGGTCACCGTCGCCGTACGTACATGTATAAAGTCTGTATGTTTACAACAGTTGGCAGAGCCTTTGAACTATTTCTCGATCGCTGATTGGTTCCCTAGAAAAGCGGTATGATGCTGGGTCACCGTCGCCGTACGTACTTGCCGTAAAAAATGCTTGTATTTCTCGACACATTCTCGATTTATCAGTTTTAGAGGGGGGCAGGGACATTTTGCCCCCCCAACTCATTAAATTTACACCACTTTGTCTTCGCGCCTCTTTTTCTTTTCTTTTTCTTCCTTTTTTTGGGTGCTTTTCCGGGGGGGGGGGGGCAAGTTATTTATAAGGAAAATGAGACGAGGTGAAAAACGCTCACTGAGATTCGATCTCGGATCACCTGATTAGAAGTTAGGACTACTTCCAACCAGTCCACAATGAACTGCCAATCGTCAGTGATTTAAACACCATCATTCCTTGTTATATAACTTGTCACGGCTAGACTAGAAAAAGTCAAAAAATTAAGTTTGGGCTTACTGACCTACCCAAATAAGGAAGCAAAATAATTTCTCACAGACACAAGATTTAAATATGAAGGAAATCAAGAAAATAATTTAATATATACAAGACAATAATCAATCAATGAACACGGATTAGACTCCCAAATTATAATTTGGAAAGTGCGCAGGGTGCACTGGTGATGTCAATAAACACAAAATGTCACACTATCACCATCATTCAGGTATACATGAATATAAACAGAGTAACTACATGTAAGTTATGCCCAATCAACACTACTAAAATTTAGGTTGCAACCTCCCTTCTGGAAAACAATGGAGTACTTGCCTGAATTTGGTTTTCAGAAAAGACAAGTACAATTATGAATTCCAAATATATCTCAGGAATTATCCAAACAATTCAGTGATGAACAATAAAACCCACTAGCAGTAGCAAATGTTCATTCGCTTATCTACAGTGCGCAAATCAATATGATTATGAGAAATGAA